CACAATAAAAAGCAGTGTACAGTACTGAAATAACAGCCGCCAGGGGGTTACAAACATTGAGACAATACTTTACAATAACATATTACATAAATACATTCAAGACGGCACATAAGGTGCAAGTTTTAATGACCGTGGAATACTTAACAGTTTTTAGATATTTAATAGTTTACTAATAGTTTAATTCTTTGACCTCATTTTCATAAATACGGCGTAAATTGCGGCGAAATTACGGCGTTTTATACCAGCATCACGCGTAAAATGCGGCTTTCAATGTTCAAAATAAAGGGCGTAAATTTCAGCGTTTAGAAAGCAGGCATAAAAAAAACGGAGTTTTGGGTGGATTTATGCCATATTTTACGGTGTAATCCAGCAATTTTTGCGTAAGGAGGCGTTGTAAACTGGTCTATTTTTGGGCTCTCTAGCTTGCCATAGACAGGATAGGAGGCGGCGCGCGGCCGTGTCTGAGCATTTGAAGGATTACACTGCATATTTTTCAACCCGCCTGACAAAGAGTGACTGTAAAACGATTAACTAAATAAAAGTATAATTTGAAACAAAGCTTCCTAATATCACATCAGAGCTGTTCCTTTGCATTTCTGCTTCTGCTCTTAAAAAAAAATCTCTGCCCCTAAAAGTTTAAAGTCATGGGCAATTTTATTGAAAAACACAAATATAATTAAAGTTTTGCACGATGCACAAGTTCCTGCGCTTTTGTGAACAATCTGACGTGTGAATCACTGCGGAGCAGGGAGGAGGATGACGAGGCTCAGCTGACCCCGCTGTGGGATCCACTAATTAAATGAGAAATGATCCTGCACTTAATACATTTATAAATCACACATAAAGTGATTAAAAGTCTATTTGAAATACAGGCGCTGGTCATAAAATTAGAATATTGTGAAAAAGTTGATTTATTTCAGTCATTCCATAAAAAAGTGAAACTTGTATATTCATTCGTTACACACAGACTGATATATTTCAAATGTTTATTTCTTTTAATGTTGATGTTTATAACTGACATTTAAGCAACTGACAAATCAGCAACCTCGATTTGTCCTGAAGTGAACGCCCCTTACCTGCAGAGCTGCAGAGGTTTTGCATTATGAACACTTTGCAGTCATTTCAATAATGAGTTTACATCTTTTGTTTCTAACCCACTTGTGATCTGGGCGGTTTAAAGGGTTGTAAGCTCAATCATCCAGGTAGTGTCACATTCGTGTCTTTGGATTCTTAGTAAGCCAGACACTGGAGTGCAAAAACAAGAACAGTTTTTATTTATTTGGAGAGGTTATTGACTTTGGCGAGGACATTCTGTGGTTGCAGTAAGAGTCACTAACCTTCTCAGTCTGTACGTGGCAGGTGCTGTTGCCAGCGACGTCATTCAGGGCGAGTGAACTGCAGCAGCGGAGCAGTCCAGGCTTGTAGGGAGTCCAGAAAGGGGAATCCAGGTTTGTGGTCCGGTAGAAGTAGCAGGTTTCAAGCATGGGGGAGCAGAGAAGAGAAGCCAGAGCCAAAATGTAATCCAAAGAGTAGTCAAGGGAGAGCAAGGGTCTTTACCATGGTCAGATATGCAGAAAATTCCAGAGAGGGCAAGGCGAGGAGTCAAAAACCATGAGAGGTGTAATAATTCAGCACTGAACGAGTGTGGGCATGGAGCTACTAAAGGGCTGAAGGTGAGCGGAATGAAGGCTGATTGTGGTGCTTAGGCTGAGGAGGTGTGGTGAACGGTTGACTGATGACGGGTAAAACAAAGCTGGGGAACAGAAATCTTGGCCAGAGGAGCAGAAACTATGGCAGGTGACATGGGCAGGAGAACACAGAGCATGAAGGCAGGAAGGGCAGAAACATGGCATGAGGACCAGAGGCGTGAGCAGGTGAGGGGTGAGTGGGGGCCGCTGACCATTACAGCTAGATAACAACAAAAAAGGTTAAATCTGGGCAGTTACGATTTGGAATCAGTTCAAGAGGGCATTCAACTCTACAGAGTTACTGTTTTTGTCACCTGTGTCAAATAATCATACATTTACTCCTTCACTAGCTGATACAGCTTTTAACACCTGTGTTTTGAAGAGGGTGCATTCACTGTGTGATCTCTATGTTGATGCTAGATTTGCCTCTTTTCAACAGCTGGTACAGAAATTTAATTTTTTACAAGTCACAGGTTTTTTTTTTAGATATCTGCAGCTGAGACAATTTGTGAGTTTCAGCTCTGTTTTCCTTTGTACTCCTCTACACTGGCTGAGATTTTGGAATGCAGGTCTGATACTAAGGGGGCCCTTAGTAAGCTTTATACATTGCTCAGTGCATACCATGAACCCAGTTTGGACTCCCTTAAACTGAAATGGGAAACTGACTTTGAGGAACCCATATCTGACTCAACTTGGGGAAGATCATTAAAAACATTCACCCATCTTCAGTCTGTCTGAGACGTGTTGTAATTCAGTTCAAGGTAGTGCACAGGTTGCACTGATCCAAAAGTAGGCTGTCCAAGATCAAGGCCGACCTGGACCCCGCATGCAATCATCGCATACAAACTCCAGCTACGCTCTTGCACACATTCTGGATCTGTCTCAAACTGCAGACATTTTGTTAATCAATACTTGAAGACACCTCTGGATTATGTGGCAAATCTGTTCACTCATCACCACTCATGTCAGTGTTCGGGGTGGTCCCTCTGGATATGTCCTTCAGCAAATGCGAGAAGGATGTGATTGCCTTTGGCTCTCTTCTGGCCAGGAGGCTAGTTATGTGCAACTGGGAGGACCCACACCCCCAGGTATATGTATATATATTGCATAAGAGAGGTGATGTATCATATCCATTTGGAGAAAATAAGATATACCCCGAAGAGTTTTGTAAAAAGATTTTGGGACACTTGGCGGCCCTTTGTATTGTATGTGGAAAGTCTGTCAATACCTGTTTAGTTTGTTTGTGTATGTCTGACTGATCCTGTGAAGGAGGGGTTTATATTCCTTGTGTTCTTTTTCTGTTTGTTTGTATGTTTAAAAGTTAAACTTAAAAATCAATAAAAATTTAAAAAGACTTTGTTTAAAAAAAAAATCTGTTTGTAAAATATATATGTATATATATATTTATTTATTTTAAACATTTTATTATTATTATTTTTTTTTTTCTTCCCCGAACCCCCAAGCACCAGCTCGAGTCCAGGGATCCCAGTTTGAGAACCACTGCATTAAAGTATTTTGCCTCCACCGCAATAAAATATGATGAATGTAGTAAAAACAACTAGGAAAGATTTTATTTCAATTCAGTTTATTTATATAGCACCAAGTCACAACAGAAGTTATACTGTGTAAGGGCACTGAACAGATTTCACATTTAAACCTTTATAAATTGCAAATGAAATTCATAAAGTCTAAATTGATATGTTCTTGTCTATTAAAAAACTGAACTAATTCTAACACTTTTTTTTTTACCTTTCCCTCATCCCTTGTTTAGTTGAGCTTCGCCGTCTCATAGAGGACCATTCACAGTTCTCGCTGGACTGCATTCATTTTAAAGATCATCCACGGAATGGCTGTGTTGGCCAACTCAAAAGCTGCAACGGCACGAGCCACGACAAAGAAAAATAAACTGTTCATCTTTATCTGATGTGATGGCAGCAGGTGTGCCTGCTACCTGTTTGCCTCAAAGTGCAAGAACACAGGTGTCAGGAAGAGCAAGAACTTTGGTCTCAATCTTTTTATGCAAATTTTCTTCTACATTTGTTTCCCTTTTTTATTTTCAATTTTGATATAAAAAGTATTTTATATTGTACTAAAAGATAATTTATTTCTTATATTTAAAATGTAAATATTTAAGAAATAAATTTGTAACATTGATGCCCATTTAATGTTAATTTTTATTGTATAAGAAATCTTCTGAGGAGGTGGCTGCAGATTTGTCTCAGCCTGAACAAACACCAGCACGTTGCCTTGCCCTGCTATTGCTCTTTTTGAAACATAACAGCTTTCAGGTTAACACATCAACAATGCACTTTAGCAATGATATGATAACATTTATTACTGCAGTCAGATAAAAAAGTGGGTTTCATAAGAGGAAAAAAGGTTTTGCAAAGATTATTTCTATATGTTCTTGTAGAATCAAATACATTTTTCAAAAATCGATTAAAAATCCAGGATACAAGTTTATGGTTTCTTTGAGCAAGAACAGGAAACTAGGACGAAGTAAATCGGGGCCTTACCCCCCCCCCCCCCCCCACCCACACACACACACACCAGTAAAACCACCCTATAGGGACCACGTTTTCATTGATTAAAAATATCTGGAATGAGTTGGTGTGAGGTTAGGTGCCTCTCCGGGATAGAAAAACAAAACTATGCACACAAGATTTAAAATCTTATAAAAATGCTGTGTTTTCCCAGAACGTTAATGTTAATGACAACATTTTATCAAATACTCATGTACAACTGCAAATGCTGTGAGCAAATATCAAAAACACCTAAATAAAAGATCTACCATCCTGATTTTTTGTTTGTTTGTTTGTTTGTGGCTGCTGAAAAAGGTTTTGAGGGTTCTGTTTTTAGGACGGTAATTTCCAGACTCTTAACAACTCAATACTCTTCTAGTGTTTTAAACTGTTAATTTAAAAAAGGGTCATGAACAAGTAAATTCAAAAGTAAAACTAAAGATTCTGACAGGTGATGGGATTTCCTACTCTGACTGGGCATTGAGATGTTTACGTTTGTAAAAACTGCTTTTCAGGTTAGCAGAGTACAAACTTGAAGCAAAAGTCTCTACAAAACAATGACCGGTATACTTGAAATGCTTATCTTGTGTTTTTATTCTTGTAACTCTATTTTTTTTATGTTATAAACTAGTATACACCCTAATGGGTGTAAATACAATGCATCCTTCACTTTTTCCACTTTTTTTATGTTACAGCCTTATTCCAAATTGTATTAAATTATTGTAATCTCTTTGCACAGAATTCTACACACAATAGTCCATTATGACAATGTGAAAAAATATTTGAGATTTTTGCAAATTTATTAAAAACGGAAAACTAAGAATTCACATTTACAAACGTTCCAACAAGAATTTGTTCAGATGACCTGACTTGAACCTTGTTAGATTTATCTACTTGGATTATTTATCATGAATCGGGATACTTTTTAAATAAGTTTTTGGACCCCCAAATAATACTTTAAAGTCGTAGTCCAGCCTAGATGTGATAAATGCATGGACCAGTTTTCTGCATCATTTTTGGACTAGATCTTTGTAATTTTAGCAAAATTACGCAGCTGGAGGTTCTGGTAACTTTTTTAATATGTGGGTTAAAAGACATGTCCTAATCAAAAATAACACCAAGGTTTTTAACTTTAGAACTGGAGGCCAAATTAATGCCATCCAGAGAAAGTGAAAGTCTGCAAAATTTATTCCTAAAATGTTCAGGTCCAAAAAACACAACCTCTGTCTTGTCCGAGTTTAAAAGCAGAAAATTAAAGGTCATTCAGATATGCTTGTAATCTTAAGTTACGGATTGGATTCACTGGGTTTAATGGATAAATATAACTGTGTATCATCAGCATAACAATGAAAAATTATCCCATGCTGTTTAATAACTATCTAATGGAGGCATATTTAAAGTAAATAGTATTCGTCCAAGAACTGAATCCTGAGGAACTCCATGACTTAACTTTGGTGTAAGAAGAAGATTCATTATTTACTCTAAAAAAATTAAATCTGGTCCTCTGGACATTCAAAAAACAAAACAAAACCAAGCAAAACAAAAAAAAATGTAGAAACGTTTCGTCTTTCATCCGAAAAACTTCAAACCGCCTCCTTCAAACCTCACAACACAGGAAAGGAAAGCTGTAACATCACTCAGCCAGGACCAAAACATCACCATTTTACCAGCTGATAAAGGAAGATGCACAGTAGTCCTCAACACTTCTGATTACCGGGAAAAAATAACTACACTACTGAGCGACCACAACACCTACGAGACCCTGAAGAGGGACCCAACCAGTGCCTATAAAAAGAAAGTCACAGATTACCTGCAAAAACTTGAAAAGGAGAAAACAATCAATCGAGCGTTGTATTAAAGATTGTACCCAGGGGAGCCACTCCCCGTCTTTACAGACTTCCAAAAATACATAAAGAAGGAACACCACTCAGACCCATCGTCAGCAGCATGAACTCAGTGACATACAATATTGCTAAACATCTGGCTGGTATTTTAGCTCCTCTTGTTGGAAACACACATCATCACATAAAGAACTCCATTGATTTTGCTAACAAAGTTCAACACTTGAAACTAACCCCAGGAG